GTTGTTGCTTGTCTTGATTCGAGTCATTGCTCACACCCATTTCTTCACTAATATTTTCGTGTTGTTATCTTTGATGATTCTCTCTATCCCTAAAAGGGTAAAATGAGTTTTGAAGGTAGAGATAGTGGTGACAATGATGGTGGTTTGATTATAGAAATGGTGGTGGCGACAGTGGTGAAGCGATATAGGGATGGGTGTGTGGTAGGGTAAGTTGAAGAGTTTGTGACAGAAGAGGTGCATGTTGTGATGGTGAGGTGACTCGACATTTGGGTGTTATCAATGGTGGTGGATTGTGGTGGGATAAAGAGTAATTGTGACAAATTATCAGGGTAATGGTAATCAGTAAAATGAATAATTTGTGATTAATAAATGATATATGATCTAAAAAAATATGTAATTTGCAATTAAATTTGTAATTGTGACCCATAATTTATGTCTTTGTGGCTATGAACTTCAGAAAATATGTAACTAGCACGTGCACGTGACTAGGATCATAAATCGTGTTATCATGACTTTGACAAGCTCAATTAATTAATAAGTTACAAAATTATTATGAGGCGATCACATTTTATGACCATTTTGTTTTTGAAACTTTTTTCAGAAATTTCTTATTTTGAAAAATATATTTTAGCTCTCGTTTGGCCCCCATTATTCTCTGTTACATTATAATTCATTTTTTTCTTTTCTTATCAACTACACATTCTCCAATAAAATAACGTTACATGTAAACTCAAAAACATTTTCTTCTTTTTCAAACACATATTCTTAAAAAAATTATTATTCCTCTCATTATAATGTGGAATAATAAAGATCAAAGGGGTGCTAGTCTTGTAGTTGTTTGTTTTAGGGTAATTGGCACATAACTCACTACCTTTCAATATTGTTGTGCAAAATATCCGTATTTTTCATTTTTTGACATTTTCACCCTTAATCACACATTTGATTGCGCAAATCGTTTTTCTGTCCATTTCCTGTCAATCCAACAAAATCAATTTGACCACATTTTGATTAATTTTAAAAGAAAAAATTATAATTTATACTTCTCTAATAAATAATCAAGAATCTAAGGGCTTATTTGAATCTCTTTTTTGTTACGGTTAAAAAATAATTAAAAATTTTGAATTTACGTGTAATATTATTTTATTAAAAATGTGTGGTTGGAATAATATCAAAATAAAAAAAATTGAGAAACTATTCATCTTGCTTCCTTACCCTATCCCACCCGAGCAGTGCTATTGGGCTGGGCTCAATGCTAGGCCCAGGGGAGTCAGCACCCCCTCGGGCGCCACATGGACGCCCTGTTCTTGAGCCTGACATTGAGCCAGGCCAAGAAGATTTTCTCACCCCACCCTATCCTACCCTACCCTATCCTATCCTATCCTACCCTCACCCCTACCCTACTGCACTTAAAACCCATAGCCACCGCATGATGTTACCAACACCAATAATTCACTGTCACTGCGGGATTAAACGCGGAGCTCTTGATTCAAAAGATAGTGGCAAGGGTGGCGGAGGCGGAGGCGGGGGATTTGTTAATCTAGTAACCTTGTCAATATCATTTCCATTTTCATCTTTTGGTGTAACTATTGCGAGTGTAGATGAAGAATAATTGTTAAAAACGAGGGAGAATTAAAATGAAGAAAAAAACCCAGAAGAAGGGCAGGAAATTCAAACTGTCCATCTTAGGCTCTTGAATGTGAAAAAGTGGGGATTTATTTAGGGATTTATAGAGAGAAAATACAAAATCTAACGGCATTTGGTATAAATTTGCAGATGACACAGATGGATGGAGGAGATAAAGGGGGGATTGGAGGGGCTTTTGCTTTTGTTAAAAGCCACAAATTTCACTTATGTGAATACAAAATAAAGATTCGTTTGATGGATATTATCGAGGAAAAAATTTATTTAAAATAGCGATATGATGAGAAATGTGTTGTTAAAAAGTAAGAAAAAGTTATTGATATGATTTAAAATATTATTTTTATTGAAAAATGTGTTATTGAAAATGAATTATGAAATAATGTATTTTGAAAAAATGTGTGTCTAAAATGGGCTAAGGTTTTATGTCTATATGTGTAAGGTGCATGTCGGGTGGGTGGTGTGGGGAAAAAGAATTATTCTTCTTGACCAGGGCCACCCCGAGCCCTAGAAAACCAATGCGCATGTAACCCTAGTCAAGTAGCATATAATGGGAAAGAAAGATAGACAGTTCTCAATTTTTTATAATTTGATTTTTTTGATTATTTTACTAAAATCATATAAAATTATAATGTCTTTCTTTTAAAATTAATCAAAATTTGATCAAATTGATTTTTTTTGGGTTGACCAAGGGAGAAATTGACAAAAAATGGATGGGGCGTGATTTGCGCACTAAAAAATATAATTAATGGTGAAAATGTCAAAAAATGAAATGTAAGAACATTTGCATAATTATCCTTTATTTTACCTTTCAAATAAAAAAACTCTCTTGTACGCATAACTTACAAACGTTTGAAAAGCCTTAGGCTTAGATTTGGAAAATGAAAAATTTAACATTTAAGAGATTAAGTATGATTTATTTCAAAACTAAGAAATAAGTTTAAAACTTCAAAAATTAGATATTAATTATTTTTTATCTTTGAAATAATTAATTAAATAATTAAATATGTCAATGTCACAATTCTATAATATTTGGTCACAAATTATCGAATTAATTGGTTACAAATTATTTTTAGGTCACAAATAAAAATTTTTATAGGTTACAATTTATTCAGAAGTCACAAATCAAAAAAATTCAAAGTTACAATTTATTTATCGGTTACAAATCATAAATTTTATAAGTCACAACTCAAACTTTTAGATCACATATTATTTATTAGTCACAAGTTATCGATCACATTATTTATTGGTCATAATCTCAAATAATTGGTCACATATTATTTATTGATCACAAATTAACAAATTTATTCATCACAATCAACCAAATAATTAATCACAAACACTCTCATCTCATGCTATCCTACCCATCAATCACCACCTTACCAACACAGCCACTACCACCTTACCAACACAGCCACCTCACCACCACCCAGGCAATACCACCAC